TAATGCAATCCCAGTTACCAAACCAGACTTTTACTGACTAACAGAACTTCCATCATACCTGGACATAATCTGGTTATTCATCCTCATTAGGCCCGTGTTCCTGTTCAGTCAGTATTCAAGGAGATCAATCACTTCTTGACATAGCAGACAAAAAATGGTAAAGCTAAGTGTTTACCTATTGGATGATCTTTGAGAGAGGTTTTGTGAAAATACTAAACATTTAGGATTAGACAGAACCCGGTGGGACACCGCTTGTGATGGTGGTAGAACAGTGGTACCCCAGCACCTTCCTCTGCATAGGACCTAACATGAAGGAGTGTCTTTAAGGCCCACAACACTGGTTAATACAGAAGGATATCAATTCTTCCTGTTTAGAGTTCCAACTTAGACAGTGCACCAAATCAGTCAAGGCAGTTTGTCCCATATTTTATCTAAAAGCCTGATTGACATAGGTCCAGATAATCATTATTATCCGGGCTTAGCTCAATTATCTGCCCATTTTATCTTGTTGGCTAAGAAAGTCATTTGAGTTACATCTGATCAAATTAGAAATGTTTGTATTACTGCTTCTTTTAAGCAAGAGGGAAGAACACCCCTCTAGCAAAGAAAATACAGTATCATGGCTTAGTTTAAATAAAGATCATGTATGGTTTTTTCCCCCTTAAGCTTTCATAGTCCAGGAATGAATATGTGAGTTTATGTAGACTTGATTTTAGAACCAAGAATAAATTTCCTAATATGCTGCCTATTATAGGAAATACACATAATATAGTAAATTACTTAAACTTTAAGATCCAAATTAAAATGTTGGGATACATGAGTAGATAAAGATTCAAAGCATGGCTTTCCAATTATTTCATTCTTCCTCCTGTCTCAGTCAGTGAGCTCAGCAAAGTTGAGGCAGATATAGTTGGATGGGCTTAAAACTTCTCAAAGATAATCAACATGTAATCAGAGGGTTGGGCAGAAAATGTACTGTAAAGACAGTCCAAGAGTCAGTCAAGCCATATAATCAAAGTTTCAGTCCAGTATGCACAAAAATCAGAGTATAAACTGGGTCAGAGTCCAAAAAGGCAATCCAAAAGTCCAGTGCACGTTTCAAGATAGGAAGTCACAGGTGCATGTAAAATATTGAGATGATATTAGGATGATTTTCTAATTGAAAACTTTATCCAAAAAAGACTTCAAGCTTCTGTCTCCAAGCCCCAACTGATATGCATAATTCAGACTGCAGGGTTAATCAGATAGTGGTTCCTGAGTACAGCAGTACTCCCAAGGAGCTTTTTCTTGCGCTCTTGTGTTTTTCTGGCTTTTGATTCTTTACTTGGTGATGCCATTCTTCCCCAGATTCAGAGATTCCAAAGAATCCAGGGATCTGGGTCAGAGTTTATGACTGTATGTTCCATGCTTACTGGGGCTAAATCTTACTGCTTTCTGTGCTGGGCCCTGGTTAATTAATTAACTGACTTCCAAGATCTCCTTAGCATTTTCTCATCCTGTGAGGATGAATGACATTAGCGTTATACATTTCTATAAACTTGATTAAACATTATTTCTCCACTACCAGGACTGTGTAGTGTTTTTTGGAAGCACTCCAGCTTGCAATAAACAAAAATGAACATTACTGACATAGACATATGTTTTTGGTCTTGAACTGCCTTATTAATATAATTAGCTTTTATTCTAGTTTAAAAAGTGCTCTGCTCCTTGTAAAGTTATAGTATGTTTTGTATATAATGGGAATAGACATATGAGTGTGTGTTTCTGGCCAAATTCTGTATTTGAAAATGAAAAGGCCGATTATAAAACTGATACATCTTCCAGTATTTTAACTGGAACTGACTTGTGTTCATAGGAGAATTTATGATGATGTATTGTCCCATTTTAGATAAGTGCTAAGATGTATGTAAGGGCTTATGGTATCAAAAGCTGTAGGGATTCTTCAAAACCAATGGAGTAGCATTCAGGGCATATATTGGGCCATCTGAAGTCTGTACCGTAACCATATCTAAAGCTAGATTGAAATGGACAATTTATTTCACTCAGAAATATTTGGAGCTGAGAAATCACTTCATATAGAACTTTGGAGCCTATTTATTTATTTAAGCAATTTATAGGCTGCCCAACTCCCACCAACTCTGGGGAGTTTACAATTAAAAGTTTTAAAAATGTATAGAATATAAAAAAGAAATATGAACAGCCCCAGAAACAACATAAAACCAAAGAAAGTCCATCCAGCAGGGGCTCAGCTGCTCTATCCCAGAGTCTGGGAGAATAACCAGTTCTTTAATAGGTTCTTGAACATCATCAGGGTGGGAGCCATCCAGATCTCTAAACAGATTCATATTGGATTTCAATTTCAATATATTTTATTATCCTGCAGAAGCTGAGGTAAATATTTTCAAACTCATTTTGATTAACGTAAAATTCTCATGCACTATTAGATGTCATGCAATCAAGTTGCATACTAAAGTCATGTTCACCACTTTCACTAATCATTGGACTGCTCTCCCTGGCTTTATAAGGAAGGAAAGGCAGGGGTCAAGTCCATATAAAGTTGGCTATAATTCTCCACAGAGCTTGATCACATTTATGGATTGTATAAACTGAAAAGTTCCTTTATTATTAGATAAATACAGATTGTAGTTGCATCAGTTGGCCCTTTAATAACTATGGCATCATAATTGACTGGACTTGTACCTTGCCACAATCAAATAGCTTTTGGTGACTTAGAGTGTACAGTATAACAATTAAAACATCCACAGTAAACTCTAATCAGTACAGCATAAAGCACCAATGGAAACAAGAACCAATAACAACAAAAAAATAATACAATACATTAATATATTAGTTTACTATAGTTTGTATTGTATTCTACATTGTGAAAAGATGCTCAAGAACATTCCTTTCAAGTACTCAGGTCATTTCTGCATTTTAGAAAGTGAAATCAATAGGAGCTAAAAATAATTGCTTGCTAAAATGATAGAAAAATTTGTAAGGAACATGGGGAAGTTACCCAGATACATAAATCTTTTAGACTGGATCACCTTAATTACCCTCTTCCACATACACAGAATCCCCAAGCATCAGTCATTGATCAGTTTATTTTTTTTATTAATCAAATTTATACACTGCCCATCTCACTGTATAAGTGACTCTAGGCAGCTTACAAGTAAAAAAATCAGTTGCTTGCCTGGCCTGGATAGCTCAGGAATGGAGAGCCTATTATGTCTAGGATGCCATCTTTCAGATACCCACACAGAACAGGGCACCTGGTGTGTATTATAAAATCATGGTAGATCACTGAAGTTCTGTCTGCCTGCTGCTATGTAGAGGTAGAGAATCCAGGTAGAGAAACCTGGAAGAGATTCGGGCCCTTTTCCAATCTGGTCTGTGGTAAAATAGCTTGGCCAACTGTTTTCCTATTAATTGACTAGGTGTTCAGCAGCAGAACTTTCAACCCATTGACTATTATCAAAATCTCACAAGCTTTCTAAACTGAGAAACAGTTTGCGAGCACTCCTGTAGTGTGTTCTGAAAGCCATTTTGCAAAGCCATAAATAGGTCATCTGGCCAGTAGCAGATGATAAAACTCACCTGAGCAATAGGATCTGTTTCCATCCCTCTCTTTAGTTTGAACTTGAGAAGTACAGTAATTAAAATAATTGCAACTAAAGTTATTGTCCTCAGTTGCTCATCTGTTTTGCGTCAATTAACATTAACAAAAAGAAATAACTTCCCATGTTAGTTTAGCTTTTACATGAGTTGTCTCAGTTTGTGAATTCACTTTGCAAATATATAATTACTAGCTACTGGTCTTTCATAAAATTTGTTTGGTTTCATTGATTAAAAAAGTGTCAATTTTTGGTGGAAGGTTTTCCACTTCAAACAGCATTTCTATCACATATTAAACAAAGAAAGGTCATCCTGAAAACCTGCTGCATTGAATGTGGTGCAGATCTCACTGAACAATACCTGTATTTGTCTGGGGCCCAACAAGCTGTTATTTACAAAGGGTAATCCAGACAGTAAGATGATCTTCATAACATACAGAATTATTTGCCCAGCATAAATATATTATAGTCCTAGTAAAAAAAATGGTATGCCATCATACCCTTTGTGACACGGTCTAAAATGCTTCTAGCATAAGTTACTGAGGTACTACGACCTGTACCAATCTCCATACAAATAATATTTTGATCCTCTTTAGATTCTTGAGTATCTTAACTATAAATTAACAGCTCTTTCATTTGTTGCCCAGTAGGTGATACTGGGATACTGGTTTATGTTAATACTAAGCAGTCAGATATAAAATGTGTGTATGAGGAATTCATGTTCATTTCTATGCATATTGTTAATTTTTTTCTTTATAACAAATGTGATTTATTGCTTGATAATACTACTGTGTAGTCCTGAAATTTGAACTGGCTTGTAGAAGAATTTCACCACAGTTTGCAAAGCTGTATAATCCTTAATCATAAGATTCATAAGTGATCTAGAGGAAAACTCATTATTGTAGAAATATAGGGGAGAAGAGAGCTTTAAATGTGTACCTCCTCTGCTGGTAAATAGTAACCATGATTATGAAAATTCAGAATACTGTGTTATAAATTTCTACTGCACTTGCCTACTGTTTTTAAACTTGCATTATTGACTTTTATGAGCATTTTAAGGAATTGGGCGTAGTAAGAATCAAAAATACTACATCTTCTTTCAGTAATTATTCTCATCTTTATAATATGGAATCAAAAAAGGAACTTTTGCTTGGCCAGAGGATCCAGGGAAGAGCTCTGAGAATTCAGTATATTAATTCAGGAACTATGTATTGGATTATAATAGGATACTTTAATACAGTTAATGTGTAAGCCTACTAAGACAAGGAAGAGCTCTTCACTAAATCCAACTTCATGTTGAAATCTACCATCTTTTCTCACCAATGTTTGTTTGCTTGTTTGCTTGCTTTGAACTACATTTTAAACTATAGCTTTGTTTTTTTACAGTATATCAATTATGGTAACCTGGAGCAGTTGTTAGATAGTAATCAACACTTGCCCTGGACAGTGCGAATAAAGCTGGCATTGGATATCGCTCTCGGACTCAGTTATCTTCACTATAAAGGAATTTTCCACCGAGATTTGACTTCCAAGGTAATGTTCCCCTATTTGAATATATTTTGTGGACAGCAAATTTTTGGAATTGTTTTGTTCTCTTCAGCCCTTCTTGTGTGTTCAATTGTAAAACTATTGTATAAAAAGCCACATTGTCTTATTATCAGAAGAATGTAATCCACAATTGTAAATGAGTTAGAATTACATTTCTGGGAAAATGGATGTACAATTAAATTCCTTTAATTTGTTTGGTGCTATGTTCCTGTAGCTTTCTAGCTTTCTATAAAGCTCTAAGGCTAATCTTTTGGAATAAAACATAGTACATTATTAAAAACAAGTAGTGATGTTGCTTTCAAAATGTGCTTTAAATACGCACATTTAAAATGTATCTGATTTTTAAAGAAGCTGGTCATTTGCAAACATGCCAGAACTGTAAGTGAGCATCTAGAACAGTGATTCTCAACCTTTTTGAAGCTGCCGCCCCCCTAAGGAGCGGAAAATTTTTCAATGCCACCCTTTGTGAAAATC